TTATGGGTATGATGAGGTATTCACGTGCCCGAATGTTCCAAATGGAAAAATAAATTCATTATAAATTAAAAAAGTTCTACTACTTTTCACCAAATATATTCACGTCCACGAATGCAAAAAGTTCAAGCAAAATTTTCATTCGCATATTCAATCATATCATTCTCAGCATCCAGTATTGATAAGACTTTTTTCTGATTGAAAATATTAATAACAAAAATTATTTTATTTTTTTTAAAGAAAAAGATATAAACCGGATCCATTGTCATTAAAGTGTCTAGATCCAACGTTTTTCTTTTTTTTTTTCTTTTTTTTTTGGAGTTACCCAACCCTAATTACCTCTTTGAGGCGAGTTGGCTCCCTCCGGTATCCCCACAAGCTTCGACTCTTTGAGCCGGCTATAGGACTAATCCGGAGTACGGGGGTCAGTGATGGCTAAAGGTTCAGCCCCCTCCCCAAGAATGCATTCAAGTCCCACATTATAAGATCAAACATTTTTATTCTCTCTTTCTCTTATTTAAAGTGTTGATCCTCGTGTGCATAAATAACCAAAAAGAGATTTAAACATTAGTGTTCTTAATCCAAAGTATAGGTTATGTATTACTATAATAAAAAACTTCTAAGGCAGAATTAATGGGGTGGTTTCTCATAATTTGGCTTTTGAATAATTACGTTGGCTTAATTATTTAGAGGTGTAAATGAGTTAGATTAAATCAAGTATACAAGTCAAAGTATAAGTTTAGTCTGACTTGTCTTTAAAAAATACAACAATACATATCAAGCCTTAAAAAAATGGCATACAACATTATGTAAAATATAAATTATGATTATTTATTTCTTTTGTTTCTTCTGTGCGTTTAAATTGATGGAAAGTCAAAATAGTACAATAACTAAAGCTATACCACAACTCTAAATATTATTTAATTAAAAAATAATAAAATGTTATTAAAAAATACATGTCAAACATAGAGGCTTAGAGAGTCATCTATATGGGTTCAAAAACCCAAACCGAGTTAGTTGGATTTTCAATACACCAATAGAGAATTCTTAAAAAAAGAAAAAATACTTCCAAAAGCATTATGCCAAAATAATGATTCACAAATAATAATGATTCTCCCTCCTTTTGAGATTCTAATCTAACGATATTGAAGATTGGTAGACATAAATAAAAGGTGAGTAAAATAACCTATCTCTTGAAATATTTAATTATAGTAGAACCACTACTAGAAAAGTCTCAATTATCGACGAAAAAAAATCATCAAAATTAGTGATGGAATTTTGGACCGAAAATATATTCCATAAAAAATAAAGACAAAAATAAATTCTATGAAAAAATAGAGACGGGAATTAAAGACGGAACCGTTTTGGTCATTTTCATTGACGGAATCTTTCCATTAAAAATAAATTCCTTCAAAAATTTCATCAAAAACTTTCGACAAAAAACATGTTTCTTCAAAAAAATTTGACAAAAAATGGATTCTGTCAAAATTGCAAATGAAATCTTTTCTATCGATAGCTGGGAAGAAGAAAATATTGTTGAAATTTTTTACGGAATATAGATTCCATAAAAAATTTAGAAAGAATCCTTTAGGTCGAAATTTTCGACCAAAGAATATTCTATCAAAAATATTTGTCAGAAATAAAATATGTCGAAATTTTTTGATGAAATATAAAATTCCGTCAAAAAAGTCCGTCAATAATTTTGTCAAAAATTGGAATTTTCATCATTTTCGACAAATAATCTCCATAAAAATGGCATTTTCTCTTTGTGATTAACATCTCTATTTTCCTTTTTATATTTTAATTATATTTTGAATCAATTTACTCAGTTTAATCTGAACTGAATGGGCTAAGCATAATGTGACTATTTAAATAAAGGTCTTCTAAATTTATTTATAAAAAAGAAAAGGAAATGATGTATATTAATGATTTGTCCAAATTTATAACATGAAGAGAGTGCAGCTTTTTTTATTGGGTGGGAATATTAGTTACCATATCACTTCATTTGGAAATTATTTATGCAATTTCTAGTATACGAAGCTAGACTGAGAATATTGTAACCTCTCCAAACTTTGTTAAAATGGGATATTACATTGTGAAAACCAAGTAAATGAATATCAGAGAAAACATACTCATTTCCAAATCCAAATCCTCCTGAAATTTGAAAATGAGAGATGCCACGCTAGTGTGGCCATGCGATTTGACATATGCAGCCATGGAAATAGCCGCATTAATCTCATCATAAATCAACTTGGTCTCCTTGAAGCGGTAGCTAGAAGGAGCAAAATTGTAATGGTCAGAAGACCAGTATAAGGGAAATATTCCCTCTGCATCCTCTGAATCAGATGAATGAAGGAATTGATGAGTCTCCAATTTACTATATATTAAGGTCAATATGAGCATGAAATTGATTTAAAAGTAATTAAAAGTTATGAGAATTATAATTAAATTGTTATTTTATTCTCAATAATATTCTCATAAAAATTCTTATATTTTGTAGTAATTTTCAGCTCAAAAGATAAATTGGAGAGCTCAAGTGGATTTGCTTTAGATTTCTAAATCATTGAAGATCTTATATCTTCCTTTGAATATTTTTAAGGAAAGTTTTTCTTTAAAAATAAAAGGGAAGATTTTAAGGACTTGATTAAAGATATGATTGGAGATTCTAGTGAAGATTCCATTGAAGATATTATGGAAAATTAAAAGATATAGTTTCATCACTATAAAAAGGAAACTCTTGAAAACTCAAAGGGAATTCGACAGAGGCAAGCAGATCGAGAAGAAGGAAGAGAACACCGGATACCAGAGTTGGAGACAGAGAGAAGAGCTTGAAGGAGACTGAGCAACATTGATTCTTCTTATTCTTATTCTTCTTCATGATTTCTTCTTCTTTTTATTTTTTTTTGTTTTGTTTAAGCCAACTATGTTTGACTAGTTTTCTTATGTAGTTAGGATCATGGATCCAATGTGAATCCTTTATATTTTCTAAAAAAAATATAATTGTTTTAATTCAGTTAGTTTTATTTTATCTTGAATGAATTTTTCTATATCCTTATTACATCTGATCAATTTTATAGGATTTTAAGGGTTAGAGTTCACAATAGGCATATTGGGGTTTTAATTCTGACAAGGGTAAAATAACAATTTGTGCATGATCTAGACAGAGGATTGTATGAATTGCAGATTTTTTTAATTCATCCACTTAATGCTAGATCCAAGAAGGATTACTAGGACACTAGGGTTCTAATTAGGTTAAAGTGTTAAACACAATAAGACATTAGGTTTTAACTAATTGATTTGATAAAGATGAATTATCTGAAATATTAAGTTAATTAATTATAAGAATTAATTTAGATTTATAGAGGAGGATCAAAAGTGAAGTGTATCCTGGCTATAGTTTCCTTACATTCTTTACTCATATCTTTTCTTGTGTTCTTGATTATTCTTGAATGTTCTTGATTTTCACTGCATTTAATTTTAATTACTTTTATTTTAATTAAAAATATATTTTCTAAACCAAACTGAATTTTCCAAATTAAGGGGACCAGTGTTGCGATTACGGCAAGTACACCGAACGTTTCAAGTAATAAAGTGTGACTAGAGTATCGTCCCACGAGGATTAAAGCACCAAGTATTATCCTAACTATTCCCTTTAATTTGGACAATCCAATTTGGTTTAGAAAATAGATTTTGAATTAAAAAATAATAATTGAAATTAATTGCAATGAAAATCAAGAGCATTCAAGAACGTAAAGAATGATTATGAGAAAAGAACTGTAATAAGAACCTGTAGCCAGGATACACTTCACCTTAGATCCTCCTAAAGTATATTTGCTTCAAGGTTCGTTCATAACTCAAACAATATTTTTAACTGTTTTTCTTCTTTTCAAATCAAGATTTTTCATTCCTTTTTCACCATTTTTCTGTACTTTTCCACTGCTGCATATATTTTCATCACTTTCTTTCTTTCCTTTGAATACAACTTTTTCCTTTATAATCACTTAACTTCTATAAGAACTTTACCTTGAATTTTTACTAATCAGTGTTGAAATCTCATTCAAGGGTGAGTCAATAGGGATATAGGCTAAGTAATTTATGGGAAAATTTATCAAGAAAAATTAGTCTAAGGCTCAAAGGGGCTAGCAATGGAAAACTTTTCAGGTAAGCTATTTGGCTAAGTGGTTAACAAGAATAAACTTGCCTTTATCATTTCAAATCATGCATATATCACAGAGAAAAAGATCAAGTTCTAGAGTACTATCACAATGAGGTCTCTCAAAAAAAAAAATTTATTGTATAGGCTCAAACCTCACAGGCTAAGTAATCAAGCTAGAATCTAAATCTTCATTTCATATCAAGTATTGTCTAACAATTCTCAACAAGAAAATCAACCAAACGAGCAATAATAACTCAGGCACTTCCAATGCAATATCATGACAATTATTCATTGTGCATTACCACAAAATATCACATATGCTCTCTAAGGTTTAATCAACTTATTGATTGAGTAGTTAATGAACATCTAGGCATGCCTTTTAGAGAATTATTACTACTAAGAAGAAAAATAACTTAAAAAAATTAAAAATTTGAGACAAGAGGTTAGGATATCTCCCCTGAATTAGAAAAAAGTTTCTGTTAGACGTCCTCTCTGTGTGATTCCTCAATATCGCATATGATGCGCCCAATTCCCAGATTTAGAAAATTGTTGTCCCCAGCAATAAAGCTAAACTAGTCGAAGAATAAAACTTCTGCGCAGGTGTAACATACACACTTGTTAAACATTAGAACAGAATAAACTAGAAAAATATAGCAGAGGACATACACATATCCAAAATGTCTCAACATGATCCTAAGAAGAAATCAAAAACATCAAAATAGAAATTAAAACTAAAAATAAAGGAAAGGAAATAAAATAAAAATGAATAATAAAAATTCATTGGGTTACCTCCCAAGTAGCACTTGTTTAACGTCACGAGCCTGACATACCCTATGTGATCATGTGGCTAGTAGCTCGGGCTCAGTGACGACACCATACCCTTGCTCAGAATTTGTGTCCTGCCATGGTGATACTCATATGCATGTGGATGAGGAGGAGGGTTCTCAGGAACTTTAAACTTAGTCTTAACATGCTTTTCCTTGCTTTTGAGTTTTTCTATCTTAACCTTTGGCTTGCGTTCTTCATACGGTTGATGGATTTTATTCTTGTTCCCTTCCTCAAACTTTTTCCTTGCAATGTAGTTAACTTGATCTTTAGGTTGAGATGTAAGCAATAGAGCTTCATTTGTAAGTACCTTGAATGTTGCTCGTTCTCCATCCACGCGCATTATCAACTCACCCTTAGGTACATCGATTAGCGCTCCTGAGGTTGCTAAGAATGGCCTCCCGAAGATCATAGGCACACTGGCATCTTCATCAATGTCAAGAATAACAAAATCAACAGATATTAGAAATTTATCTACCTTGACGAGCACATCTTCCACAATACCATGTGCTTGCTTTATTGAGTGGTCGGCCAATTGAACATTCATCTTAGTTGACTTCACTTCATTAATTCCCATCTTCTTCATTAAGGTTAGTGGCATCACATTAATGCTAGCACCAAGATCGCATAAGACTTTCTCTATAGTCGTCTTGCCAATGGTACATGGAATACTGAAGCTCCCTAGATCCTTCAACTTTGGAGGCAAGTTTTTCTGTATGATTGCACTGCACTCCTCTGTTAATATAACAGGTTCATCCTCTGTGAGATTCCGCTTCTTAGATAATGTCTCCTTCAGGAATGCCATTTTCTCTAGAGCTTCTGCAAAAGGAATGTCAATTTGCAATTCCTTAAAAATATCTAAAAATTTAGACAATTGCTTTCTTTGTTGATGTTGCTTAAGCCTCATAGGATATGGAGGTTTCTCAAATCGTGAGAAATCCCATTGCTTCTTTTGAACTTTAGGAGGCTGCTCCTTGGCTTCTTCCTTGTCTTCTTGATTTTGCTCATTCTTGCTTATAGAAGCTTCCACTTTTTCTAGATCCTCGCTCGGGTTGACTATGGTGTCAGTGGGGAATGTTCCTTGATTTCTCTCAGCTACTTGTCTTGACAACTGCCTAATTTGAGTTTCGATATTCCTTATAGATGCTTCTTGATTCCTAAAAGCGGATCTGGTGTCTTGCATGAATATGGTTGTATCACTCCTGAAGGCATCAGTGCTCTGTATATATTCTGTAGAAGTCTTGGTCAATTGCATTAATGTCTTTTCTAATTCAGAAGTATGACTCTGTGGGATTGGTGGAGGTTGCAAATACTGTGATGACTTGTAATCAAGACCCCCATGATTCTTCCATTTAGGGTTGAAAGTATTCCCAAGGGCATTGTTCTTACTCCTTGGAAGATTGTGCTAAGCTCTTAGATCATACCAGATCCCATTTACTTGGATTGGATCTGCTCTTATGAGTGCATTACACTCATTAGTCTTATGCTCTCCTTTACAATACTCACATGCTACTGGTTGAGCTTGAACTACAGAAGCTTGAAATTTTTCAAATTTGCTATTCATAATATCAATTTGCTGAGCGATGAGTTTCTGCTCGGCTAAGATTGCATCATTGTTCTCCAGTTGAAGAAATCCTCTCTTAGGTTGTGTTGTAATGCTTTCATTCTCAAGTGCTGCCATGGATTTGAATAGCGCCAAGGCTTAAGTTGGTGTTTTCTGTCTTATAGAATCTCTAGTTGCAGCATTGATAACCATCCTTGAGGAAGGAGTGATTCCATTGAAAAATATACGGACCTTTTCCCCAGGTTGCAACTCATACTGAGGACATCTTCTCAGTCGTTTTTTAAATCTCTTCCATGAAGCACAAAGAGTTTCTCCTTCAGGTTGCATAAAATTGGTGATCTCATTCACCAACCTGTTGTATTTTGTCATTGGGAAGACTGAGCTAAAAACTTGGCAGCCAAGTCTTCCCAGGTACTGATGCTGTTTGCTGGCTGTTGTTCTAACTAGTCGAATGCTTCCTCTTTGAGAGAAAAAAGGAACAACTGAATCCTCAGTGCATCATCGGACACCCCATTCCATTTGATGGTATCACATATCATCAAGAACTTCTCCAGATGAGCATGTGGATTCTCCAAATCATCTCTTGAGAATTGGGATTGTTGGACCAAAGTTACCAAAGCCGACTGATCTCGAAGTTGTTAGCCTCAAATGTTGGCTTTGTTATGCTTGAGTTTGGTCTCGTCAAGCTCGACGTGAGAAACGCATCAATCAGAGCTTCTGGAGTACGTTGAGGATTATTGCCAACCATCTAGTTTGGTTCCGCTCTTGGCTGTGAACTGGAAGACTCTTCTTGTTTCTTTTGTTTAGTAAGCTTCATGTTCTTCTTTGCAGTCGTCTCAATCTCAGGATCAAATAGCAGAGAAGCGGAATTTACTGAACCTTGCATAAACAAGAGAAATCATATTAATAAAAATAAAAATAACGTCCAATCTCAAGGATCGAAAATTATAAATAATATTGTCGTAATTTAATCCACAGAAACGGCGCCAAAAACTTGTTGCGATTACGGCAAGTATACCGTTCGTTTCAAGTAATAAAATGATAAGTAAAGATCGTTCCCTCGAGGATTAATGCACCAATGACTAATTTTAACTATTCCCTTTTTAATTGGAAAAGAAATAAGTTTTGATTGTGAAATTGATTGGTTGTTGTAATTTAGAAACAGAATTTTAAAGAGAATAGGAATTAAAAGCATGCAAGAATATCAAGAATATCAAGAAAATATGAGAGTTATGAAAATTTGTAAAAGGACTGTAGCAAGATGCACTTCACCTCTGATCCTCCCTTATATTCCTATATATTATTTTATAATTAACTAATTTGTTTTCTTAGACAATTCATTATTTCCCTATAAATTAGTTGAACCCTAATGTCTTAGTGATTTCAACCCTTTAACCCAATTAGAATCCTAGTGTCCTAGTAATCCCTCTTGAATTAAGCATTAAGCAAATGAATTAAAAGTCTGCAATCTATGTAAGCCTATGTCTAGGTCATGCACAAATGAAGCCCTAACATTCAAGGTACAAATGAAGCCCCATTTCCTGCATCTCAACCTAAAGATCAAGTTAACTATATTGCGGAGAAAAAGGTTGAGGAAGGGAACAAGAAGGAAGTCCATCAGAAGCATGAAGAAAGCAAGCCAATGGCTAAGATGGAAAAGCTCAAGAGTATAGAAAAACTTGTGAAAACTAAGTTTAAAGTTCCTGAGAACCCTCCTCCTCATCTACATGCATATGATCATGGAAGGACACAATACTGGACCAAAAAGACTAGGTCATCAATGGTAACATGCTTCCAACCACCATAATCACAAGGGGTACGTCAGGCTCGTGACGTTAAACAAGCGCTAATTGGGAGGCAACCCAAAACTCATTTTCATTTATTTAATTTTGATTAGGTAGTTTCAATTTTAGAAAGTTAGGTAAATGTTGGAAATAATGACAACAGGTGAAAAAGCATAAATTTGGGAATTGGCGCTATCAGCGCCAACCTGGCGCTAGTAGCGCCACAAGCGCTGAGGGCGCGAAACTGGCGCTATGAGCACCAGATACTTCATGATCGAGCAGTCCGCACTTAGGGCGCGAAACTGGCGCTGCCAGTGCCAGTAATTACAATTTTCACAGTTAGTTCACGCTGTCAGCGCCAAGGTGGCGCTATCAGAGCCAGAATCCCAGAGAATATTCATGCTATAAGTGCGACATTCGCGCTTAGAGCGCCATGATGTCACACACTTCACCATTTATCTTGACTTTAGGATTTTTCTTTATTTTGTTGTTTTGGTATTTTGATTTGGTTATGTCTCTTTCTACATTTTACTGTTAGGATTATTCTGGTTGATGTTTAACAAGTGTGTGTGTGTGTGTGTGTGTGTGTGTGTGTGTGTGTGTGTGTGTGTGTGTGTGTGTGTGTGTGTGTGTGTGTGTGTGTGTGTGTGTGTGTTTCACCTGTGCAGAAGTAGCTTCACACGACTAGTTTAGTTTATTGCTAAGGACAACAACATTCTAAATCTGGGAATTGGGCGCATACTACATGTGATAACTGCTAACTGCGGAATTGCACAACAGATGAGTCTAACAAAAAAAATTTCTGTTAAAAAGGGGAGACATCTTAACCTTTCAAATTTTTTTATTTTTATTTGTTTGTTTTTTGCTATTTTTAATTCAATTTTTTTTAGAAAAAAAAAATATTAATAAATTCCTGAACAAGCGTTCCTAGATTTTGCAAAAGCTTACTCAGTAATTAATTAGATTCAATCATAAGAAGCACATGTGATTTCTGTGGAGCATTAAATTTTTAGATAATCTGAGAGTGATGATTTCTCGTTTGTATAACTGCTTTGATGAATAATTGTTAGATAATGCTTGATGTGAAATTTTGAAATTGGATTCTAGCTTGAATTATATCTGTGAGGATTGAGCCTAAATAGTAATTTTTTTTCAAAAGGCCTCACTGTAGTAGTTTTCTAGAACTTGAACTATTTCTCTAGCTTGCATGTATTACTGACATGATAAAGACATGTTTATTCTTGTTAACTTAGGGCCAAATAGCCTACCTAGAAGAAATTTTTTCATTGTTAAGCCTTAGACCAAAATATTCAAAAACCTGGTGAAAGTTATTTAATTATTTCTCCATTGACACACCTTGAAAGAGATTGAAATGCTGATGAAAAGAAAAATCAAGGTACTTCTCAAAAAGAAAAATTTAAGTAAGTTGAAAAAGGAAAAATAAGAATGGTCTGCAAAAATGAGGTTCAAAAGAGAAAAGAAAAAAAACATCTGCAAACAAGGAAAGAAAATAAAAAGGTAGTGAAAAAGGGAATAAGAATCCTGAACTGACGAAAAATGACAGAATTAAAGACTGAGAAGAAAGTATTGTCAAAAATCTCAGTATTTCAGTCTCACAAATTAATCAGCCTCTGTCCAAAAGATTCTTACCCCCAAACCAAGCCAAGTTATAATCTTTCAAGACCTTTTAATCAATCTATGCATGTCAAATGGGTCCCTGAATCTCTGGGAGTTGAGAATATGATCAAGCCTATGGAATTACTACTACACTAATGGAGTGAGTGTGAAACCATCCAAACACTAGAGTGATGAGAGTTACATATTTCTCCAGTGAGGAACGTGCAAGTTACGATCTGAATTTCTTGATAAAACCGAAAAGCATTGTTTAGAGTTTTTCAACAATGAAGTTATACATGCATAGCAGTCTGATCTCTTGAGATAATTGTGTTCCATGTTTTCTTTCCACAGAATTCATCCTTGTTTCTACTTTGATCTAGTACATTACTGAGGACAACAACGTTCAAATCTGGAAATTGTTTGATATGCCTCCAGCATATATATGATTTTAAGCCAAAAAGATAAAGAATCTTGATCAATCTTGAATAAAAAGAGCTAGAATTATTATTAAATGGATAAATCTCAATCAGATATTTTGTCACTGATTTTCTTATAATTTTGTAGGAAAATGGGACAAAAAGAAGCTCAAATTGGAATCACAAGTCTCAGGCTCGCGCTATTAGCGCGGCACTGGCGCTAGTAGCGCCAGAAGAACTTCTTAAGACAGAACCTCCACACTACTAGCGTGGCACTAGCGCTAGCAGCGCCAGCCATTCATGCCAACCGCACTGTTAGCACGAGAACCACGCTAATAGCGCGAGCCTGCTGTATGCTCAATAAAACTCCCACGCTAGTAGCGCGAAACTGGCGCTAGTAGCGCGGGAGGCACGTGATAGTTTTAAATCCTATCTCAGACTATATCAGGAGGATTGGACCAGATACACGATGAAGATTTGATCAAGACTTCTAAGCAAGGGTACAGAGTCTATAAATAGAGACTCAGACCCTCAGAGACAGACATCTTTGGCTGGAGAGAATCGTGAGCACAGAGAATTAAGAGATTCTTGGAGACTCGCGCTGGAGATCAGGATTCCATCGAAGTTGATGACTGAAGACCATTGATCTTTCATCTTCTTCTTCTTTTCTTTTTCTTTTATGAACAACTTTTCTTATTTGAATTTGTTTAAGTCAAACATGAATATGTCTGGCTAATTTCTTTTTGTAGTTGGGATCACAAACCCGATGTGAATCCTTTATATTTCCTATACTATTTTTATAAGTTAATTAGTTTAGTTTATTTTATTCTGCCTGTGATAATTTTTTCATATCCTGATTAGAACTGATCACTCTAATTATAAGGCTTTAAGGGTTAGGGCTCACAATAGACATATTGGGGTTTTCATCTGGACAACGGTAGAATAACAATTTGTGCATGACCTAGACATAGGCTTACATAGAATGCAGAGTTTTAATTCATTTGCTTAATGCTTAATTCTAGAGGGATTACTAGGACACTAGGATTCTAATTGGATTAAAGGGTTGAAATCACTAAGACATTAGGGTTGAACTAATTTATAGGGAAATAATGAATTGTCTGAGTAAACAAATTAGTTAATTATAAAATACAATATAGGAATATAAGGGAGGATCAAAGGTGAAGTGCATCCTGGCTACAGTCCTTTTACAAATTTTCATAACTCTCATATTTTCTTGATATTCTTGCATGCTTTTAATTCTTATTGTCTTTAAAATTCTGTTTTTAAATTACAACAACCA